GTGGTTTTCATACCATCGTTTCTACCTAATTTTTGTGTTTTTCCACAGTCCTGGGAACATTTCTCTAAGGTAAGTATAATCTCATCTTCTCCCAGAGATATCAAACCTCTTTACAGAGCAAGCATCTTTCGTAACGAGAGCATGATGCAGTGGCTTTGCTATCAAAGATACCAGACCAAGGTAAGGAATTACATGAACCTGAGAGCACCAGTAATAAATATACAGTGCTACACCTGTGTGTGATTTCTCTGCAACTTGTTTCTGACCTCCCAATTGCAAATTACTTGATATGTGCTATTGATGAATCTATCAATATGTAATAACAACAAAAGGGAAAAATCAGTAATTACATAAAACTCCAAAGAATCAAAAGAAGCCTTTAGGGTTTTACAGCATCATCTCTGTATGAGAGAATCACAAAGTTCTGGTATCATTCTTCAAACATCTTGTGTCCTTCAGATCCAAGTACATCTCTTCATCATTTTGACTTAATCGTATGTTATTAATTGTTTGTTTACCTCAATTTTGTGTAAGATTAAGATACCCATCTTTGAGGAATTACTGGTATGATTTTGACCAGAAGAACATGAATTGGGTTAGCAAATTAGGTCACTTGCCATGGTGACAGCTCTCTGAGAAAACCATCAATTAAGGGAGAATGTTTTGGAATCTAAATGAGCTTCATCATCTGAAGTTCTGCTGTGTGGTGACATTGCTGTACTTGGTTCAATTTTGTAAAGTTTTGGAACATTCAAGCCTGACTGGACTGTACCCGTCAGTTGACAGCAGCAGCATCACTCAGATTTGGCCAGTCCTGTCCAGATGTGTCAATCCCTGCAGCTGCAGTTTGTCCTTCTGCCACCAACAGAGCTGGAGAGCTTCTTCTTCAGTTGACTTCTTGGGGTTACAGGTTGGGAGCAGGGAACTGTATTAGTTAATACCCTCATTTTGGACGTACACAGTGCATGTTTCCTCTATTGTATTGATAAATGTAAAAATGTCAGAAATGCGTATGCTGAATCTCAACTGGAATACGTGCACCCTGACTGTAGTCTGTGATGTATCTGTATTCAACAAACTGATTTTTAAGTATGATCTGTTAAAAACAGCTTTGTAGTCCACAGGATAGTTCATTAAGAGCCTTGTCTAATACATGTCCATTACTTTCCCTTTCTAAGTAACCCTTACAATAACTTTACCAAATGAGCCACTTAAGAGTACGTTTTCAGGATTTTTTCAGTTTAATTATCACTGTTGAAATTCGACACATCTCCATTAGGTTTGTGCACACATGGCAAAGAAAACTTAATCATCAACTGATTCCTGCTTTATGCAGATACTTCAAGTATTCAAGCTAATTGTATTCAGGTTAGTTGTCCTTTCGAAAAGACCGAGAGGTAAAATCCTAAAAACTTTAGGATTGCTCAGGCAGGACTGCTTCATTTCCAAGAATCACAGTTCTGCTATCAAGTGAGAATACATAAATAATGGCTTCCTAACTTGCACTTACACTTGTTCTCTTACGTCTCCTACTCCTCTTACTCTTCCTGCATCCTGAATATATGTTTTCTTTAAAAGCCTCAGCAAGGTTATTAATGTGGACAGCACCCAGCACTTCCCCTGGTTAGCACAGATGAAAAGATGGATTTCCTTTTGCGAGCTGTATTGTTCTGCAGTTGTGTGCATTTCACTCCCATTGTGTGGTTCTTCACCAAGTAAAAACAGAGCTCTTCTATCCCCGAGGACAAAGACCAAACTGTTGTCGAGGGAGGAATATCTACAAAATCGTAAATCTTTCTCCTCCTCCTGTTTATCCTTCGTGCCATTCAAGCCCATTTAGAGAATGACCAATTAACTCCAGTCTCATGGCAGGTTCTGATGGGCCAGGTTTCTCCTATCTGAGATGTCACAGACGAATTTTCAAATACTTTCTAGCTGAATGCAGCAATTGCTTTTCTTTGCTATTTAATTCACAGTTCCTAAACTGATATTCCAGTTATCGAACAAACAAACCTTTTCTGTAATTAATGCACTGATCACCATCGATATTGTACAATATAGGAAAAATGTGTACCAAATTAATTTCATTGTGCATCCAGTTCTTTATTATTGTGAGTAAAACTGTTTAAAGATATTTGTCCTTCAATAATTAATCTGCTAGCTGTACATTGCACATCACTGCATACTGAAATATACAGGAAGCAGGAGTTTTACAGATTACTTTTCTATGGTAAAAACATGCTGCAAAAGTAATAATTTGTGAAATAACTCTAATCAGTGAAGAAAACACACTTTTGCCTATGATATGGTATCCACTAAGTAAAAAGCCAATACAAACTGTGGGAGGGGGGAGATTCCAAAACTAAATGTTAGATCTGAATTATTTAACCATAATATAGTGTTGTAATTAACATCCATACTGTATGTACCTCATTGCATTTAATGTCTTATCAATTCTTGACGTGTGGAATTTCTAAGAACTTAGCGACTCAATTACTCAAAAATGGCTTTTATATTGCTTTATATTGAGAAGTTGTAAGTTTGAAAGTGAATTATGTTACTCATTTTACTTTGATATCCCACGTTGGTGTCTGAATTGCATAAAAATTTGATTTTGGGTTAAGTGGCAGGTCTGCAAAGAAACTGCCTATTTAATCCTAATTATTCATTGCTAGGATCAAGTACTGCATGGGCTTGTGTTTTTACATAAATAACATATATACAAAAATTGAGCTTAAAAAACACACCATGCCACATTCAGACAAGTTTCAAAAGGTTAGGTTGTTCTAGCAGAACATTTTTTTTATACTTCTGTTTACTTTCTCAGAAAACTCTGCTTTTGCAGTCTTAGGTGGGAGTTTTGCCTCAGAAAGATCAATGGATGCAAGAAATATCTGTGTCACCTGCTCCTCGTAACACCCACTGTTAGAACTGGGAGTCTGTGAAATGCACTTTTCGGTTCCTTTACCAATGCTCCTCAGCCTCGCTAACTCCGTGAGACCCTGTAGTCTGGAACTGGGGAGTGATCTGCTCTGTCCCAGCCAGAACATGCAATGTCATTGGTAGCACTGGGCTGTGCTTCTTACCCAATGAAAAACAACATTAAAATTAGATTATTTTCTTTTATCTGTCACAAATGAGTCAAGCAGGAGGAACAGAATGACTGTAAAAGCAGAGAAATATTTATCACTCAATATCTGAAGAAATTAGCAGTGATAAAAAGGAAACACTGTAAAGGGAAAGCAAAATGGCTTAGCTGGGCTCTGAAAAACAAGCGAGCAGTCTTTAATTTTGCCTCGATGTTTTTCTGGATTTCTGAGCTCTAGCCTTTTGAGGGGAAAGAATAATGTAAATGCCAAAAAAGAGTTGGACAAAAAGTAAGCTTTGTATCCTATCTATGAGAATCAGACGATGTGTGTCATGCTAGTTTTTACAGTCATAGTCTACAGTCTTCCACTGATTAAAATCAAATTTGACAGTAACACAATATAGAGGTTTAACTGACAGCACACACAGCACATTTGCTAGTCATAACGCCACAGTTTAATGACTGACGCATGTGGGAAGCTAATTCGGATTTTTTTTTCCTTGAATGGGATAAATGAGCATCCAGTTAATACCAATCATGAATTCAAGCCATGGGACAAAATTGATGCTACAGACCCTGTTCGTGTTTTGCATATTCTGCAAATTGAGCTGCAGGAAAAGAGCCGGTTTGTACACACATCCGGAGAGAAAGTTCATCCTGCTTTTGGACACATCCACCAACTGCAGCTGAACGTAGCCAGCTTGTGGCTGTTGTGTCCACAGACTAATTACCCTTTCTCTGTTAAATAGCCTAAGAATTACAAATTGTATGCCTGTTTTGAGAAAAAGTACAGGTTGAACAAGCAGACGTAGTATAAATAAAATATTTATATAAAAATAGTCTCTTACAAAATATACTCTCTTATCCTATGGTTGATTTTTCCAAAAGATGGAAGTTTGTCTGGATTTTCTTATTTTTAGACATATTCCAAACAGGATTTTATTAATGCTTCTTTCTTTAATTGAAGAAAAAAAAATAAACCAAACTGGCAAAGATTTGTAACCCCTACCGCTTGACTTTTGTTCCAGACAACTAGCAGCAAACAGGAGAAAAAAACAAACCAAAACTAAAAACCAAAAACAACCCCCAAAACAACAGTGTGTGTTTGTATATGTACATATATATAAAGATGCCAGCTTTTGTACTTAAACATCTAGTACTGTAGAACGTATCCTGCAAGTCCAACTAATAGAAATATCCTAGTTAAGAATAATATATACAGCTCCAGTTTTTCCTTGCTGTTTCTACAAAATTATTCCACAAAGAAAGCCAGCTATCTACTTTAATTGCAGAATAGTTCCAAAAATGTTGGTAGAGTTCTTTTTAATTAAATAAATTAATATTAGTTTTATCTGAATAAATTGTTAAATATTGCTATTATTATGCCCAAGTGTCCCAAATCCCTGTGCTAAAATCTGCAACACACACGCACACAAAATAGGCAGGTAAAGCAGTGTCTACAGAAAACACCAACAGTTCTACTTGCTGTAGCAAATGGTATGAAGTGGAAAGATGGGCAAGAGCAGCAGAAGCTTTTCACAAGTGTTGAAGCCTAAATCAGTGTCATCCTCACACTCACGTGGGCAATTCACTATGGGGCACTGTCCATCCCATCTCGTGCAAAGCCCTTTTTGAGGATTTCTCCCCTACCCCTCCCTACTCCTTATACACAGAAGTTTTTGCCCATCTTTTTCCGAAACCAGGAGTCAGCTGCCACGCTCAGAGGTTTCTCTCTGACCAGTGTCTCTTCACAAGGCAGTCCACGCTTCTTGCTTTAACCGACACGGTTTTTCTCTCTGTTTTGTGTGTCAGGTGGCTCGGGGTGGGTTTTTTTTATTATTTCTTGGCTGACTTTCATAAGAGTCTGAACCATGTATCCACATAAGCAATGAAACATGAGAAGAAAAGAGAAGGCTCCATTCATCAGCATTTCTTCTGGGAGAGCAGGTCCTTCCTACAGTCTCACGTAGGTACATTGAGTGCATGTGCAAAGGTATTCCTGGCTGGGGCCATGTCAGCCCGCCCAGCCACATCCTCACTTACAGGTATAGACCTCTGTTCTTTCACTGCACGTGTTGCATTTTACATAGCAGCACCAGTGGAATTTGCAGTTGCACTGCCACACTCTCGAGTACTGGTGTGTGTTGTAACCCCGTCCACAGCACATCAGGTCGCAGCCGTTGGACTGCTGGGCTGTCTTGTTGCACATCCTTCCCTGCGTTCCCACGCTGCCCGTGACTGGGTCTTCTTCACAATAATTGGGAGATTTTTCTATGTACACTAAATCTGTATCCATGGGTTTGCGATAGGAAAGGGGCTTCTTTATTTTGAGGAAGGTTGGACGCTTGTTACGACTTGCCCTCACCGGTTCGACTTGAACGGCTTCGTTGTATTTGTCCTTAAGGATGTAGCCCAGCTCCCGGAACTTAGGCAGAGTTGTCCAGCATGTTTTAGTGGTACAGGATCCCGAGACCCCATGGCACTTGCACTCTAATTTCATATTTTCTTCCAGAATCTGTATTTGGAAGAACAAAGAATGAAGCATTAATACAAGCTAAGAGTCTCTTCAAAATAACAGGGTTATTTGATAGCTATTGAATGGCAGTCACAGATGGGTTTGCTCTCCAGCATGAGTTGACACCAGACACAGGCCAGGTTCCCACCAAAGCTGTGGGTGTTGCTTCCCTGGTGATGCTGTTGTTCCAGGTAGCAAATGCTCACCAGCGTCAGCTGAGCCCTGCCTGCGAAGCTGAATCCCCGTTTGCACTTCAAGTTAGGTAGGGAAGATAACTTTGCCTAATTTCACCGACCAAAGGTAAAATGAGACCCTGTTAAGCACAGTTTTTCTTCACTTTAATTTGCAATAGAACTTTACTTCATATTTTTCTGTTGCTGCAATTTTTAGCATATGGCAGTGAAATTAGGATCAGGGAGAAAATGAGACCATTACATGAAATGCCACATGCAGAATGCTTTGAAAGTTCAACAATAGATACTAGAACTTGATTTGTGGAAACAGAGGTTCAAAAATAAACTGCATTTCAGTTCTTGCACCTGAAAATGACATAAGCTGGTGCAAGACATGAACAAGCAGATAAACTCGATCAATGCTTACCCTCCTGTTGGCCTCACATTTACCAACAGTGTAGAGCAGATGATCATTGATTCATACAGGCATCATCTGTTCTGAATACTGCAAGTTAATGCTCCAGTTTGGAAATCTAATATTTTAATATACCAGAGTCAAGTTCTTCCTACTTTCTGGAGGCTTTGAAGTTTTTTGCCTCCTCTCACGTGGGTAATGGAACATACAGAATGCCCCAGGTAAAGAAAATAAAACTAGGTCTGTCTTAAAGCATAAAGGGTAAGTGTAAAGATAAGGAATTGTTTTCATGTTTTGTCATCAATTCTCATGAAAAATTTTCTACCTCCTTAATACTGTCAGAGCATCTCAAACACCTCAACACCATGGCCTGCCCCACCCTGCCTCATGTTCTCTGCTTTATGGGGGTCTCTCATGCTTATGTCTGAGTTGTCACTACTTTCCTTTTGAAGATAAAAAGCTTCATCTTCCTGTCAACTGTCACATCCCTTGAAGCTTTATCCTTGCCTCTTCTCCCTCTTGTTGTGTGTTTACCAATCCAGTCTTTGCCAAATAAAACTGGAGACCAGCTTAGTCCCTGCTGTCTGTCCTGAGTCCTGTAACTGACCTCACTTAGCAGCTACATTGGGTTAATGTAGCAAACATACCTAATTCCAGCAATTATTTTCCCACTGGTCTTTGCTTGAAAGAGAACAGCGTAATTTTGATGATTAAGTTCTGCCTAACCTGGCAGATACCAGCAGTGGAAAGCCCAGCCAAGGGATTATCTGGGGTTGGGGTGTGGCCACATCATTTTTTCTCTGAGAATCCCCAGCTGAGCCGTGCAGCCTCAAACCTGGACAAGGCAGGTGATATGGAAATTTGAATTAACCCTTTGCTATAAACCCCCACTTCAGTTTTGAGTGTTTGGAAAACTCATCCAGCTGCTGCTGAAAATGGTAGCCTGCACTGATGGGGTGAAGTCCAGCCCGAAAGCTGGACACGTGTGCTGGGACTTCAGGACACTAAAACCTCAGCATAAACTGGGGGTGGCAAGAAGAAGCGCATATTAAGCCGTGTAGCCAGCAGATCACAAACAGCACACTAACACTGCCGAATGTAGCTCTGTCCTGTTCTTGGCAGCCTTAAGTCGTTTAAAGACAGAATGTGGTAGCTTATTACTCTCACAGCTTTTGGTTTTGAAGCTGTTCCCATGTCACCTAGACACAGCAATGGCCATCACCTAACCGTAGGGTAGTTTATAGCTGCTTTTTTACTCATTGTTCTTCATCTGCCCCTTTTCAATACAGACTGGGATTTCAAAGGCATTAAAACAGCTTTATTTTTATTTTAATCTACGAGTGGAGTGTCCGCATGTGTGGTCTGAAGACTGGATTAAAACGCCTAGAAATGTAGGTCCAAGACTTCGACAGATGTGAACTTAGCATATACTAGGTCACATTTTGTGCTACTGTTTTTACATTAGTTTTTTATGCAAACTGTCTAATGACTGCCCTAAAAACTCAGATGTAAGTAACTTTTATATTCACATCTTCATCTTAACTTGCAGTTCTGCTCGAGCTTTGGCTTAATGTTTTGCATTATCTTGTTATCTTGAGTTTCTCTCTCAGCCACTGCATACTTCTTTTATTGCTCACTCATTCATAAGGTAGTACACTGAGAAGATAGATGAGGAGACAGAAAAGGAGTTACAGCACAGAAACCGGAAAAATAACATAAATTCTCTTAGCCTCATTTGTACCTTTTTAAAAGCTCTCTTTTTTTAATTTGAAACTAGCCAGGGATGCACTTCTCAGCCCTAATTCAATCACTGCTCTCGTTTAAGTGGCTGGCCTTATATCCTGGTACAATGTTCAAACTTGCAACAAAATACTTCTAACTCTCCTTCCATCAGGATCCGCCAAATTGATTTGCAACACTTAAACAAAATACAGCATGGTTTAGTGTCATCTATCCAGGTAGGGCTTTTTTCCTGAGTGTAGTTCAATAGCCTAAACTGCCTTTTGGTTTATTTCATTAACATCCCATTTACAGTAGGGATCCCTGAGAGAAGGAGCAGTTCTACTGGAAAGAGCTGAGCAAGCAGTTGGAGCAGTTCAGCAACCGGGCAGCCTCGTGTCCCGTGTGGGTCTCCTGCCCCAGGTGACACGATGCCAACCGGAACGAGCTTCTGCTTTTCTGGTCTCACCTGAGGCTGGGCAGGAGCAGTGAAGGTGAAAAGGTCTCATTTTGTCTGAACTTAAGAAGTCTGAGCCATGCTACTTGAGCCCAAGTGCTAAGGGTCCTTCTTAGATGACTGGGAGGGGAAGGGGAAGGGGCAATGGGATGAGAAAGAGTTTTTTTTCTTTTAACATTGTGCCATATTTATTGGGGTTTTTTGTTTGTTTGCTTGTTTTTTAAATTTAGATAGCACTTCCTAAGTTTCACTGGCTACCCCTCCTTTTTCTCTTCACACTTGCTGGGGGTGCATTTCCAATGCACTCTGTTAAAATCACTCCAATACCTCTGCCTAATTGGGGTCAACCATTCTCTGCAATTGAATTTTCCCTTCCTATTCTTGCTTTTCTAACCCAGCCTCTCCACCTTTTGCTCACAAACCCTTTTGTTGGTTCTGTTCTTGTATCCATATCCTCCTCGCTGGTGCTGTCTTTCAGTGCGGTGTTTTGCAAATTCAGCCAGAGATGAATTGACTCTATAGCCTTTAGAAAATAGGCTACGTGTAATCTGAACTGTCTATCCTCAGCAAAAGCAAAAGCCTGCAATGGTGATTTGAGAGTTTTATTGTACTGCGATATCAGGTACTCGGACTATTTGTTTTGCATTAAAATCTGTGGATGGTTGTATTTTAATACTGTTACATTATTCTAGTAGCCTCTGATAAATCAGCACCTTTATAAATTCAAGACAAGAGTTGAAAAGAGAAGGAAGAAAATAAAACAGGAGATTCTTTGGGTAGGGACAGGAGTCCTCAGTTTTTCCTTTGGTTTCCATGAGCCAAAAGAAGCGCTCTACCCCTTAAAAACTTGGTCTGTGTTAAAAACAGAAAATATTCTTCACCTTTCAAGATCAGGATTTGCTTCTTTGAAGGTATTAGACAGCAGCTCACACTTTTTACATACATTAAAACTTTATATACGTTATGGGCTGACTTTTCCTAAAATGTTAGAGCCTGAAGGGCACAAAATTTAAATCCTAGATCCTCTGTTTCTTACCAAATGACCATATCCAGCTCCGTCAGCCATGGAAAGTAAATCTGTATGCACCAGTGAATGCTCTGAACTGGATTAAATGCGAACAAAGAGCTGGAGTTCTTTTAGCTTTGTCCACTTTTTCTTTGAGCTCCTACAGTAAACTGTCAGTACTTGTTTCTCTCTCTCTCCCTTGCCATTAGCCTCTGGGAAATAGTTTGTGTGAAGAGAACTTGCGCTGGCTCTCTCTATTGATGTTATCTTCAGATAGAGTACCTTTGGGCACTGCCATTAGGAACTTAACATGTTTTTTCTTCGCCTTTAGTATTGCAGAGAATGTGTAGGGTGCGTCATGTGAGGGTGAAGAGCTGCAGCTCTGGAGGACCCTGCAGCTCTGGGCTGGTACCAGCACTGTGGTCCTGCAGCAGGCAGTGATGAGCGGGGTATCTGATAGCGGTAGCTGGCTGGGGGCTGGCTCAGCCAACCGTCCTGGTTTCCAGTGAAACCAGCAGAAAGCACTGCCTCGTGCAACTGGGTTCTGGAATGGCATTTGGTGGCAAGTTGCGGCTGTGTCAGAGGTGTGCCCCCCAGGTAGTGGGACAGGTGCTGCAGGGGCTCGGGCCTGGGCAGACCAAGGGGCGGTTGTATGGCTGGCGTGCTCAGAAAGACTGATCACCCACCTGTAGGGGCTTTCTCAGCTCAGTGACGCTGTTAACCTAGGTCTGTACCTCCCTGGTCAGCTCACTTCCCAAACACATCTGCCAGGGCAGCCTGGGACCCCCCCATGCCCACTCTGGGTGGCACAGGTCTGGGTTCGATCCCAGAATGCTGAAGCACTCCATGTCAATGCTGTCCTGAAGGACTTACGCTGTGAAGTGCAGTAACCATTTCACCTCCAGTGCATTCTCATTCCCCAGCTGATTTCCTGGCAGTCAGTGTGCTGCCAGTGCCATAATGGCCGGGGACAGGGACCCAGTACTGTGCCACCAGAAACTGCTGGGTCTCTAGTCTGCATGTGAAGCAGAAGTAATTAGTGAGACACCAGACATTGATGCCTATTCCACCAAAGTCATCATCTTTCCTAATTTTGTCTGACATCGGATCATCTGGGTCAGGAAATACCCGTCTCCTACACGTGCCTGCACACATACCTTTATACAGGTCAAACAAAACACAACTATTGGCAAAACAAGAGTGATCTTTTCACCCTGGAGAGGCACAGGC